TGCGGATCGTTTAAATGAACCGCATTTACAAAATCAAAGTCTGGGAGCTGTCATCTTCGGCAAACGCAGATTGTAAAAAACCAGTAGGATTGAACTTCGGATTGGATGTACACTGTATAGTTGACTGCGATATTATTATCATTTTGCTTTCGTGTTTTTTCTTCTTCTGTGATATGTCTAGCCTTAATGCTTAGTATATACATACTTGTAGTTCATATTCCTACGTTTCTCATCCGTAATCTTCTGACAAGATCTCGAGTATTGTATCTGTAGTACCTTGTTATTGGTCCATCCTTGCTTTCTGTTGTGCAATCGATATCCCTCCCATGTTATAAATACCTACATACTTATCACGAAAACATCTACATATTCGATATACAAATAATGCTTTAGCCTGGACAAGAAACTAGGAACATGCGCGCGTCATAAATTACACTACGACCTGGTGAAGGCCCATAATGGGTTGCTTCTTGAGTACGACAAAAAAACTACTCGGACCCCAATCGCCGTACCCTGGGATTGTCAGTTCCACGGCTCCTTCTCGTGTTGTCGGGCTCTTCTGGTTGATATATCACCCAATCAATTTCAAAGTCCTTCAACACGGCTTCTGTCTCCTCCCAAGCAACTCCGAATTTTCCCGAGTTGAATCGACTATAAGGGAAATCAGGTCAAAAGAATCTATTGTGTAAACCATTTTCCCCAACGGATAATCACCATGCATGCAACTCTTTATTAGCCGTGTTCTGTTTGACTAGATCTTGGACTGCCATTCGCGTGGCTTCTAGTATCTGTTCTGGACTGTCCACTCTCTTCCCATATGCTTTTGAAGTGAATAGGCATGCAATATCGTGCACTCCGCCATCATCGGGTAATAAAAGGCATGTTCCGACCAGTGAGACACTATCGTGAGCTTTGCAGTGAGCATGGTACGCTTCAAATTGGGAAGGAAAGCGTTCTTTGAAAACTGCCGCTATCCCCGCGCCCCAGGAGCCGAGAGCGTTGCATGCATGCACGAGAATGGTATTTGGTGGAGCAGAGAACAGGTCTCCATTAATGTGTGTGATGCTTGGCATTGGAAATGTAAAGTAGGTGGACCCTTGAAAAAAACGGAATTAGAGCGTTTTAGAGTGAGGGCAGGTGGTCGAAGGGTAAATCCGACGCGTCGCCATTCGTTGCCGTCCCTTGCCGGTTTTCCACGATATGTCTCTTCCTTAAATTACTATGGCCACCCGCTAGTCTGAGTCACTATGCTACGAGCTAAGTGGCACCCTGAGTTGCTCTCCATCCTTACCGGAGAAGAGGGTCCCAATTCCTTTTGATTTTCAAATAATATTTTTAGATTTTACATTACTTGCTCGGGAGAAGACGGTCTTGTGCTGGATTGGAGCCTATAGCTGGGGGACTGCCTGCCTTTTCGATTTCGATTATTTCATTTATCTGAAAATCCTTGTGGAGTAGACGACAATGCATAGTTATCTCCTTCAAGTCTCGATGGTAAACGGAAAAAACTGGTGTTTGATGTCCATGGCCACCAGTTTTACAGTTTCGATGGCGCCCCAAATGATACATAAGTACGCATATCCCCGAGTAAATAACATTTAACGCTGAAATGGAAGAAGAGAGAATGATCACATTAAAATCTTGCCCATTCCTTCCACAAACCTTACCAAACTCATAGCCCCAGGGTCTGGAGGTAATCCGCCCTCGGAGCCATGATTACCTTCACCCACATATGTTGCCCGACCCAGCTTAGCTTTCAAAACTCGTGTACCCTCTCCACCCTCTCTACACTTCTTCATGACTTCCTCGAAGCCTTGACCCTTTGAATGAGCAGTACTGAGTTCTTCGACAAATGGAATCAACGCATCCATAACTGTTCGATGTCCGACCCTGGCCTTCGTGCTTTGTTTCAACGTTTCAATGGCAGCGGTTGTTGTGCGCCCCCAGAACTGCATGTCCACCGTCACGTTGGGTGAGGTTGACTCCTTTTGTACCTCAGCGGTAAGAGCGGCAAGAAAGATTGAGTAAATTGCACCCAGTGTGCCGCCACATGTATCTAGAATGGACGACAAAATCAGCAACCTTGAACCAGTGAAGTTGAAATGATGTGTGAAAGAGTACCATCAACAATCTCGGTTAATTCCCTGAGCACCCTAACCAGGTCTCCGTCATCTCCGAGCCCCTCATCGAGTGCTTTCAACACGGCTGTGGCGCCAGCTGCACACGTCTCACCACAATCACCATCTCCGACAATCTGTTTGAAAATCGAAGGTCAATAAATTTCGATCACTTTGAACGAACCTGAACAGTAACGTTATACTACTGACCGTGTCCCATCTCGTCAAATCTGGTTCTGAGGCCAGAAGTTCCTCCGCCCCTGACTTGATTACGTTTCGTAATGTTTGCGATGACACTTCGTAACCCGTTCCCGGCGGCTCAGTAAAAATCATATCAGTCACAATTCGGAAGATACATACCAAATAACTTTGGTGCTTCTTTCTGATGCCCGTTAACGTTGACAGAAGGTATATTCACCGAAGGAACATCTTTGATGACCTTCTCTGCTCTCGATCTTTTCTCCAAACCATTTTGTCGACGCGAGTAGACCTCGGTGTTTTGCCAAGCCGCGGTAGTGTGTTTTGCATCGAGGAAAACAAGTAGGTCTTCCACAGCGAGCTGTTCGGTGTTTGAGCAAGAAGCTAGCGAAGAGTTGTACACGCGAACGGTGTGTGTCAAGTTCATCACAGTAATGGAGAAGCCGACGGCATTAAGTGATGTAAGGAAAGGACCACAGTAAATTGCCTCTACCACCAAGCCACATTCATCTTTTCTGAGAGGATGTTTGGAATTAGATTCAAGCTGATCCAAGACTACACGAGGGATAAGATAGTAAATCATCTGTTCTACAAGTTCTTCAACAGTAGAACACTAACCTTCATCGACGACAGCCCACATCTCCAGAACGCTGACACCACCCATATTATTCACCAAAAGGACGATCCTGTCGCCCTTCTCGAAAGGCACAAAAGATCTTTCAGGATCGTCTTGGTTGAGAATGTACTTGATCATACGCGAAACCAGCTCGGTAGTGGAAGGTTGAGGCGAGATAGTCCACATTCCCTATAAATTGTTTAAAAAATGATCCGCCAGGATTTGGATCTAAGCGATACAATTTGGACAGCGACAAACGTACAGGCTCATTGTGCAGTCCCAAACCGATCTCAACAGTATCTTTCTCGACAACAGGATATCCGCCGCCGCCAATTCTTCCTGGAACGTGACAATGTCCCAACGTACACCCAATGCTTGCTAGACCTTCCACGCAAGCTTTTCCAAGTGCAAGGACGTCATCAAAGGACCAGTCAGCTGTCGAAGCGGCCCCGAGGATTTTGCAGACTAAAAAAGTGAAGGTCACGGCCAGAAATGAAGGTTATATCATGGAAGATAAGAAAAAACAGATATACCCAACATAGTTCCTGCCATCGCTCTTCTGCCTACAAGTGCTCCCTTAGTTCTTCCTACAGAAACGTCATCACCGACGGGAAGAATTGCAATATTCTGGATTCCATCTGCGCGTGCTTGTTGACATGCGAGTCCGAAGTGGAGATTGTCACCAGTATCTAACAAAAAAGCGCAAGTCAGCGCGATGATGAACGAACAGGTGAGACAAATACAGGTACTTGAAAACCTACAGTTTGTTATGATCAAAATCGTTCCCTTGTCACTCGGTAGTGCTTTGACAGCACCATAAACTTGTTTTGCACTAGGACTGGCGAACACGTCACCGCTGACTGCAGCAGTAAGCAGTCCTCGACCGACAAACGAAGCAAATCCAGGTTCATGCCCTGTGAACACATGTATATGAGTTGACTGCGTAGATTTCAGAAGAGATCGTTCACCAGCTCCTCCACCAGAGATTGTTACAACTTTGTCCTTCTCGTAATCCTTGTCGATAACAGTCTTGATGGACTCCAGAAGTTCAAGTGTAGGATGAGACGCGACCAGACCCCTCAAAGCCCGTACGACAATCGCGTTAGTAACATGATCCTCGAAAATGTGGCGGTACATGATAAATAGGAATAGTATCGGACAGATGAAGTTCGGTAGACAAAAAAACCAAGAAAGAGGGACGTCCTGATATATACTGTCCCGTACATGATCAGATGTTGGTCGATATTCCCGAATCGCGAGTTCACTTGAAAATTCCAGGAAGTGCAAAACTCCTGGCAGAGCTTCAGGAATCAGGATCTTCCCGGACAAATTGCACATTCTTCTCCCCGCCGGGAATCAAGCTGCTTACCCCGCGATCCGTATCAAAAATTGCGCCAAGGTCACTGACAATTCCGCGAATGATCCCGATCTCGCTGTTGTTTTAGACTTTAGAGATGCGGTTCCGTTGAGGCACTTTGCAGACATAAGGAGGAGTGAGGGGAATCAAGGAGGAATGGAACGATATAATTCCAGCCGATCTGTGACTTTCTCACGGCAGTCTTGGGATAATTCCTCGCCTCATACCTCAACGTGTCACAACTCCTTCATGGTGAGATGGCCGAGCGGTCTAAGGCGCCAGACTAAGGATCAAGGCATGTGATGTCTAAGCTATCTGGTCCGAAAGGGCGTGGGTTCGAATCCCACTCTCATCATTCTTTTCCTTTTTTATGCTCTTAGTACTTGATACAGCTGCTTCTTCTAAATAGTTAGTTACTATGATTAAATCCTCGAATTCAGAATTCTTGACTGCTCGTTCCCATTCTGGTTCTCCAAATCTAACATGATAATATGACATGTCGTACTTACCTCAGGTCCATTGGGAACAACGACATAATGCCACAACACTCCCAATAACCCGCCAATAAGAGTGCAAAAACACTGTAATGGTTCATGATACCAAACCAAAAAATTCTGACATCATGATTGAAATCAAAAACTTAAAGGTGGCATATATGTACATATTCACCAGAAACTAAGTATATGAGGTTCCTACAACTTATTGTCATAGAGGCGCTATAGCCAAGTGGTTACGGCGACAGATTCGAATGAAAACGGTACCGTAAGAGAATCTGTTCCTCTTTGAGGGCGCAGGTTCAAATCCTGCTGGCGTCGAGAATATTCTTTTAACAAACATAAATCGTAGATCGTATATTTTTTAAACTATTTTGTGTAGTCATTTCCTCTATTACGTACGCCTAAAGCTGCCTCTTTCTGAACAAAACCTTTTGGGTTCTACTGGGAACTATATTCGGTCCAAACCAAACCGGTTGTGGAGTGACTTTACTATCACCCTCGAGTTTCACGTCGTAATTCATCAATGTATGAGCAACCAGCGTTTTAAGCTCGTTGACGGCAAAGAAACGTCCGGGACTACGAGTCAGTTTCATGGCAGACAGATGGAAAGGGGCAAGAAAGTTGTAAAATGAGCGAATCAGATATGTTAGTCCCGCCATTTTAGAGATGGAGTGTGAGTACTCACCAAGCATGCTTTCCAGTTCCAAAGAACAAATAGTCGGTGTTTGGAGCAACCATTTGGTGCTTGATACTCTCGCCTTCGTTCAGACGCATTTCAGAGAATCGGAAAGGTTTGAAGACGTTAGGATCTTCGTAATTACGCTGGTCGGGAATCAGTACACGACGACGTAAGAGTCACACTAACGAGGGGGCGTACCTCGTCATGATGCAAAGCGAATGCGGGAACCGATAAGTAGGTACCAACGGGTAACACTGTTCCATCTGACAGTACAAATTCTTTCATGACCTTTCTTTCGGCAGATACTTTTCAAGTTGAACACGTTGATGAGAATACAAGCATGGACGAAAGAGGGCGATAAAACCGATTACTTACTAACACTAATCCCTGATATTCTGGCGACCTCTTTCATAAAGCTATCCACTTCCCTCAGTTGCCCCATCCCAACCTTGGTCCATCCATGTTCGTTAATGACAGTTTCGATTTCTTGACGAAGGCTGTCGATCACGGAGGGAGGCTGGGTGGCAAGGTAGTAAAGGGTGCTGGTGAACTCCTAAAGAATCAAAAAGCAGGTTTGTACATGCATTTCTTTTTTGGAAATGGGACTAGAAACAGTTGCTCACAACACTCTAAAAGAAAGAAATCAACACTAATATTAAACTTGGTATGCTGTAGAGACATACCGTCGTATGAATAGCTGCCATATTGACATTCAACACCCTTTTTGTTATATCCTCAACCGTACGGAACTCTCCTCCAGGGTTTTCACTGAGGAGCCATGAGACAAGATCGTTCTTAAAAATGATGCATGATTATGATGAATATGTTAATGCAGAGCTGAGAGAACAGAATGACATTGGCGTACAGCTTTAGTTTTCGACTCCCCATGGTCCTCGGATTGGTCATCCTTCTCCAGTCGTTCCTTAATGGTCTGTCCGAGATGACCAAGGGTACGTTTCATACCGGTGCTGGTAGGAGTGAGGATATTTCCCACAATTCTAGATGCGAAATTATCGGTGGGATTATAATGAGACTTCTGTTACTTACGACGAAAAGGTACAGTTGGACGTAACTTACGGTTTCAGAAAGTCTGGGAACAGTTTGATGATTCGTGCAGCTTTGAAGACACTGGTCGTATATTGAATGTTCAAGTTCTGGTTCAACCATCAATCACGAACTTGGAACCGATTATCTGAAAAGGGGATTGAGATTACTTACGATCCAATCTGGGTCCCTGCCTGTAGGGACAAGCAAGCTATTAGTAAACATGTAGTTGTTTAAGTGGCAAAAAATTGGTTCGAGTACGTACACAGCGGTAATCCAACGAACAATCGATTAGAAGTCCTGCAAACGATTCTCATGATGGTGTCGAGGGCTAGTATTGGAGTCCATTCTGTCATGATACATTTCGTAGCGAATACGTCAGGAGCCATCATAGTTAGACCTTCGAATTGATGCATTACCATCCGTGAGGGGGATCTCGTCATTGAACGACACGACAATTTCATCCCTAACTTCCTCAAATCTGGCTTGGATGTTCCTGGTCAAAGCATTCCGGACGACGTCGACATGGTACCGATGAAGACGCTGTTGTCTGCCCATCGTATATTCAACTTGAAAGCTCTAAAACCGCAGCAGAAATCGAAGGATGGAGTGGGATTTCATCCAGACATCAATGATCGGTATTTTTGTGCATGAGAATGGAAATAATGAGTTGAAGACTCACATCACTGACGGCCTCGGAGAAAGAGAGTTGATCATCAGAAGCCTTCTTGATATCATCGAGTAGCGCTGGTCCAGAGGCGACGACTAGCCAACGATCAGGCGTACGAACTTTGAACGCTTTACCATGGTACTTTCATTGACGAACATGTTAGTTTCTGGTATGAGATAGAAGGGATCTCCCTTCGTATGGTAAAGAGGGGCTCGAGGAGTACCTTCTCGTAACCTTCTTGAATTATCTCCCGCGCATGCTTTACGAAATGGGCACTCCCAAATAGAGAAGTGAAGAAGGAATTCGGCCCAGCGGTGGGTATTTTGGATAGCTGCCAAGTAAATGTTAGGCGATGTTCGTCGAGAGGCTAAATCGAGAATACCGACGTACCCTAGACGTAGTAATCCATGATTGAGTCAACTCCGATATAAGACAAGAAGCTCCAAAAGCTGCAAGAAAGTACAGAAAGACTATGAAGTCTGGCATAGCCAACGAGTTAACACTTGGTGCTGGGAGTGCGGAGCAGATAAAGGATAGAATCAAGAAAGAAACGTCCTGATACTAGTGCATACTGAGATTTCGACTGTCCTTATATATGGCAAACTAAGTAGATCACAGGATTGATTTCATGTATTCAAGAGTCGCGTGAATGAAGCATAAGCTTGATGTGGACATAAATAACACCGGCATCCGAGAACTTGCGCGGAAGAGAGAAATGTGGGCGTCTGGTATGCGATCGAAGCGTTCGACTACGTGAGGCAAAACGACAAAGGAATGTTTTTACAGTTGTCCAACATGGGAGTAAAGAAGCCCGGTATTCGAATAGAATTTTGTACCGGTAGTTCCGTAACTCCACAGTACAAGCGACAATTGCAAGGTGTGCGTTGGAAATTGAGAGACAGATCATTGGAGAGTCCCTGTCTACTGTTAGGTCTAGGTTTGCAAACGTCGAGTGCTTAAACACCTACTGGGTGACATGTCGCTCAGAATCAGTGAGATCTTCCATCGTGGAAACCAATGCATCAGTTACTGATTAGTACTTTAGATCCCAGTGGGCGACCCTGTCCACTATGCCAGTCGAGAATAAGCATGAATGGAGTTCAGGGAGACATGTGTGTTGAAATTTATACTCCGAGCCCGCTAACGGTGACGGTCAACTTGAAAACCTTGACTAATGACTGATGTTGATGAGCCCTTGAGCTACTCCTATTCTGCTTTTATGCATAAGACTGTATATGGAAGTGTTAAAAGCAAGGATCCGATGGAACTTGAGGATAGAAGAAACCTGGAATCCTTTGGAATCTGTAACCTTCAAGTAACATGCCAAGCAGGATATCTTTCAGCCCGAATACTTCATACTTTGGGGACTGTGGTCGACTATGCCTGAGGTGAGTCATTTTCATCCGGATTCCGGACTCGTCAAGTTTATGATGGGGTCTTCAAGCTTCAATGTTGATTGTCACATATGATACAGATACGATGTTGCTATAAAAATAACTACGAACATGAAGAGAGGTTAGTATCAACCCTGGACTCTCGTTCTACTTATTTTATCATTTCAAATTGACAGTAACATCGTCGAAGCCCTGCTTGAACTGTGTATTGTGGATTCTGCCTACTAACCTCCGTTAATATTAATGGCTAGTGAAACTTAGGGGTACTATTCAAACCTTTTTATTAAACAAGTCCTATTTTCTGGAAGGTCATCTCGAGTAAGATGAGCGTCTATTGACATACATACTGACTCTGGAAATATGACATGATGTCCTCACTGGCAGGTCAGATGAACATGTACACGTTATCATCGAGTCTACTTATTTGAGAGACTTCCGCTAATCAATTGTAATTGATTCAAGCTCAAGGATAACGGGGTGCTAACGGGAATATTCCGAGCGCGTGAGAACAATCTCGGCACAGCTGACACCTTCCGCAGACCCAAGAGTCCTACGTAAACTCCGGCCTCGTAATGAGAGTCGGCAGGAAGAGGCTTCACAGAGCTGCACAGATTGGCCATAGAGAGTTTGACACTGGCATCTTGGATTGTTCAGGTAGGCTGGATGAGAAGGTGACTTGCTTACTATAAATTTTTCGTTCAATCCGATGTCAACCACAAGTACATACTACCTAGTGTCTCGATGGTTCAAGCAAAAGTCTCGGTCCGAATAGAAGTTTACAGTACACCGGTGCACCACTGCAATGTATAACAACAGGACTGTGTTCATGGCAAACAATAGCAAGGAACATCTTATGGTTGTTCTTCCCAGCGAAAATTGGAAGTTGGACAAGTATACAAAGGTTTCCGCCAGCATGCATTCCTCATCTATTTTCCACCCCATCAGGTTTTTCATTCCTTTCACTTGCTCTACGAGCCATCTCCGTCATTCAATTTGACAGACTGGAGCAATCGAAAAGTATAGACCAGAAAATTATTACCCATGGATTCTATTTCACTATCACTTGATCAAAAAAATTATGAGTATAGATGATCCTTAGGAACAATTCTGAGTGTTTGTAGGTTCAAAAGTCAATTTAGTCTACCCGCCACATTCCCTTCCTTCTATGTTCTGTGGTGTGTCCCAACTCTGTTCTTTTCCGTTCACCTTCTCCGAGTTAATCTTTCCTTTTTCCTGTCTATTCCCCCCTTCGCTCGCACTAAGATCTCCCCTCATTCCCTCCCTCCCTCCACCATCCTAAAGTCAAAACAGACAAGCTGTGGATCACAGAGGTAGAATAAAATGATTGTGAATCATCACTACATAGATATCACGATGGTTTAAATTTTTTGGAACTGTAGTTTTGCGATAGGGTCAATCGGTAATATGTATTCTGTCTCCGATCATATGTACATAGATAACACGAAAATAGCTCAAGATGAATCATTTGTGTCAAAAGTGAAACCAAAATGGTCATATGCAAAACTATTGA